TCGATGTAATCATCAATGTGATCATATACCGGTGGGTGATGATGAGAGTTTCACGTTTCTTGGGTTTAGAAGATTAGACAGTTTTCAGATAGGTGTCGAAGGTACGAATCCAGTGATTCCAGTGTTTTGCTGCATCTGCGGACAGCGTCGAAGAACCGAAGTCGTAGCAGCGGATCCATTGTACCCTTAGACAAGAAAATGGAGACGTTTAGAATGTATCCTAGTACGAGTTAGAACAGAGTCCGGGCTATCGGGGATAAACAAAGTTTTACTTATCTGAGAACATGCACTGATGAGCTGAAATGTACATACAAAGTTTCAGTACGAGTATATTTGATAAGTATAATAATAGGCACACAAAAGTCACGACAATATGAGGGACCCCCAAAGCTGAAATTCCCGAAGATCAGTTCAATTGATTCGTGGGGCCGGTCCCCGGAAACCGGGGAGTGCTGAGGAAAGTACTGAACAACGGTTCTCCTAGCCACCTGCTGTCACTCACTGGATGCATTCTACTCAGCTGACCAGTCTGTCCTCCTTGACATCATCATCATGAAAGACAGTAACGTCAGTATTGACACTGATACTTCACTGCCGTACCCTCCTTGACATGATTGTCCATTAAGGTATATTTCGGACGTTTGTGAACAGAAGAACTTGTTTGTATTCGCATACGTCCGGGCGGGTGGTCGTACATGGACTCGTTATAATCTACTATAATTAGCGTAGCATTTTCTAGTTCGTTCGTTAGGTTGTTTAAGTCTAATTCGACGCCAGCAGGTAGAGGGAATGGTTTATTCTTTATCAGTTCGTTGATTTTGTCAGAAAACGGAGATATCCAACCGGCGTAATATGCGAACATGCCGATGACACGTTGAATTTCCGTGCTAGTACGCGGAGGTGACTGAGGGATAGGTTCCATGCGTCCACCCTTTGAAACCTCATAACCTAGGAGGTGGGTGATTTTTGAAGCAGTTATGGTTTTGTTATCGTTGAGCGTGATTCCATACTCTATCGCGGCTCTTAAAATGAATGGAGATTTAGGTGGATATTGTGGATATTGCCACAAATAGCCACATTGCCTATATTGGCATACGTGCTTTTCAGCTTTTCAGACTTAATGACATTGTCAATAGTTCTCTGAAAGCATGCCACACCGTTTGTGACACCGAAGGGCATGCGGCGAAACTGGAATAGGCTACCACATGCTTCGAATGCTGTAGAAGGTTTGTTGAAAGCCGAGATGGGACTTGACGGTAAGTAGACAAGAGATCTAATGTACTGTAAACCTCGTAATGTGAAAATTCCTCAGTCATTTTTTCCAAGCGTGGCAGAGTGTAAGCGTCCAGATATGTGAACTGGTTGACAGTTTGGCTGTAGTGAACAACCATCCGGGTTTATGATTGACATTCTTGGTAACCAAAACCTGCGCTCTCCAGGGAGACGTTGACGGCTCGATGATGCCAACTTCTGCGCGAATGAATTCTTCGTTATCCAAATAATTCCGACTTGATTTGGTGGCAACAGGCTTGAAACCTGGAGACAAGCTGGTGAAAAGCGATGGTGATTCAACGTTTACTGGCGTCAGGCCGTAGATGGTGAACGCATCACGATCACCGCAGAATAAAATTTCTATGTTGCCGTGTAGACCTAGAAGATCGTGCCCGAGTAGAACGTCGTCGCAGAGGTTTGGCATTACAGGGCGCTTCAGTTCATTGTATGAATGATCTCTGTATCGGACAGACACACAAGCGTAACTGGTCGTTCGACAGAATAATGATGTAGATGCCATTGTGACGACTGAAAAAGTTGGGTAAATTTTCCAACTATGCAGTTTCACGACGTTAGAATTAATGAAACTACAAGAACTTCCTGTATCGACCAGTGCACGGAGAGTGATGCCGTTGACTTCGACAGTTGCGATGGCACGTACCAGGCAGATAGGTACTGCTGCAACGAATAATGACGATAAAGTGGGCTTTATTGTACAATTTGTATGGAACGTAGTGGTGTATTTTTGAATGGCATGCGCGGCGGAAGTGACGGCGTTTATCACAATGCTTATAAACGGCCCCTCGATTGGGGCACTTTGAACTGCAGAAACAACACTTTTGAAGGGGTTTTACAGCAGCAGTGGTCAGGTCGACACGTAATTCGTGATTCTGTGAAATGGGCGGAATCGTGCAGTAGGGTATAGTTTCGTTATTAACATATGACTGTGACTGTTTGTGAGTCAAATCGATGGATCTAGCAAGCAGATATGCTTGGTCCATAGTTATTTCGCTCTATACTAGAAATTATTTGTTATAGGCGTGAACGTCAGGCCATTAATTATAGCCTCACGCATGCACTCTGTGGGCTTTATTGTACAATTTGTATGGATTTAAACTCACAGTCTGGTTAATGATTTCAGTTTTCGTACGAACCGATCAATATTCTGTCTATCCTCTTGCTTATAGATCTTCAGCAGGTAGCGTGCATATATGAAATTTTTGGGCGGACATATAATTTTCTTAACGTGTCGATCGCAGATTCATAGTCGATGTAATCATCAATGTGATCATATACCGGTGGGTGATGATGAGAGTTTCACGTTTCTTGGGTTTAGAAGATTAGACAGTTTTCAGATAGGTGTCGAAGGTACGAATCCAGTGATTCCAGTGTTTTGCTGCATCTGCGGACAGCGTCGAAGAACCGAAGTCGTAGCAGCGGATCCATTGTACCCTTAGACAAGAAAATGGAGACGTTTAGAATGTATCCTAGTACGAGTTAGAACAGAGTCCGGGCTATCGGGGATAAACAAAGTTTTACTTATCTGAGAACATGCACTGATGAGCTGAAATGTACATACAAAGTTTCAGTACGAGTATATTTGATAAGTATAATAATAGGCACACAAAAGTCACGACAATATGAGGGACCCCCAAAGCTGAAATTCCCGAAGATCAGTTCAATTGATTCGTGGGGCCGGTCCCCGGAAACCGGGGAGTGCTGAGGAAAGTACTGAACAACGGTTCTCCTAGCCACCTGCTGTCACTCACTGGATGCATTCTACTCAGCTGACCAGTCTGTCCTCCTTGACATCATCATCATGAAAGACAGTAACGTCAGTATTGACACTGATACTTCACTGCCGTACCCTCCTTGACATGATTGTCCATTAAGGTATATTTCGGACGTTTGTGAACAGAAGAACTTGTTTGTATTCGCATACTTCCGGGCGGGTGGTCGTACATGGAGAGCTCTCCAAGATCGTCAGTAAATTGAGCGGTGTCCGTCAAGGATGCCCACTCTCTTCATTGGTATTTAATTTCGTGATGGACGTGATATTGAGACGAACGCTGTTGGGTCTTTAAAACCCTGGTGCTCAAATAGCTGCTGACGAGAACCTTGTCAATTCGGAGTATTTGGACGTCCTCGTTCTCATCTTCGAAGGAGAGGTGCAGGTGCTTTTGGATGAACTGACCAGTCATCCCGTCTTTTGGAGTGCACTTTGCACTCAAAATATAGTGAGGCTTTTGGTCTTGCAATCACTGAATACACCACTTACGACTCATCGAGGCACTCAAAGTTGTGGAGCATTCTACGTGTCTTGGAAGTTGTATTAGTTCCGATTGTGTTGTGGCACTAAATCTCTTCTCCATCTGCTTTTATTCCCTTCCTCAAAATAAGGCTTTCAGGTAAATTGTGGTTGTACGGCAGCGAAGCACCAGTGTTGAAAACTGTGTTATGCCTGTCCATGATGTAAGGCTTTCAGGTAAATTGTGGTTGTACGGCAGCGAAGCACCAGTGTTGAACACATGTGTTATGCTGTCCATGATGATAGTGATGTTGCCGCTAATGGTGATAATGATGATGACCCGTATTTCACTCAACCGAGATCCTCGGAGAGGGAGAATCGAGCCAAGGGAGGTCAAGCAGTGAATTGGCAGCGAAGATTGCAAGTCACTACTAGCAAACTCGGTTGCGCTAAGACAGGACACATCAATGGTTAAAGAAGCTGACAAAATGGTGCAGTCGCTTGCTAGATGGCGTAAATGCATCCAAGCTGTAATCCGCATCTCATAGCTTCTCTCAATCTCTTCAATGGAAAGTCCACTGACACCCTTGTATTTATGCATTACTTATGCTATGTACCGCCTACGGTGCGTAGCTCTTCACCGCTACCTTTCCAGATCAGTCTATTAGTCATCCATAAACCATGTCCCTAGTTTATATTGCTTCCAGCTGTTACCGTTGCCGAACACCGGAAAGTAGGAGAGTTTAGGAAATACAGCCAAGTATTGGAGGCGATTCCATGTTCACTTGTTTCGGGTAGCTGCGTATTGACGACGATAGGTCTGATTCGCGAGCTCTACTGACTGCGTGATTGGGTCATTTCTTCCAGTGTCTGCAATTATTGACAAGTTGAGTCCCGGAACCCCCATCCAGGGAGGCGGCACATCACCGGCGGACGGAAATGTGGCAGCTATAACCACTGCATATCATACGCGGTTTTTAAAGCTGAAGGAGGTGATTATCATTTCAATTGCAGACTGCCTTGTAACACGGATGCTCTCTTTTCTTTTTTCTGTGGTTCCCTTTTCGCTCTGCTGACATGGTAAACCCTATGGAATAAAGCCCTAACAGGTTTAACCGCAGTATCATTGCAATCCTGGAGCCCGACTGCCATTTCAAGGTGGAAACGTTTGGTCGGGATACTGCCATTTCTCGTGAGATATAAAGGATTACGATAACCCGGAGTACGACAGTAATACAGAACAATGAAACAAAAACACGGGTAGACTACTGCTTAACAGGCCCCATTTCCTGCTGTTTCGCATAAGTTTTACTGTTGGTTCACCTCTGCTCTCCATGGGAACTATTATTTCGGTGTTGAGGTTGTTAAAATGCACTGAAACACTTAATCTTCTCGTCGTCAACGTCCGCCTCGTGTTCGGACGTAAAGTTAACAACCTGCTCACAGTAACTCAAAACCGTGTCTTTTTTCAGCCTTCGGTATGGTAGAGGAAGCCTTCAAAGTACTCACATTAAACTGTTGGTGAGTACCTGGTTTTCGCTTGTTTTTAATTGATTTCGAAAAGGGGTGTGTTTATTCCGTTCTGTACCGTACGAAAAGATGACCGGCTCAAGCTGATTGCGAAACGGCTTTCAGACGGAACTTACGATATTGTGATGCTCCAAGAAGTTGTTACTTTCGAGTGACTTATTTAATCTCGGTTTGTTCTAGATATGGACAGACCCCGACTTTCGAATGCTACAAAGTTCTTTGAAGCATGTATACCCGTGGTCTACTTATTTCCATTCGTAAGCGTCGTTTTTTCGCTAGTACTTTGTGCCCTCCGGTTTTTTGAAGGAATCTCATCGGTAGTGGCCTGTGCATTTTTTCCAAATGGCCAATGGACAGCATCTTTATGCATCCCTTTGGAGCGAACGGATATCCACATTTGCTGCATCAGGGTGATTGGTACTGCGGAAAAGGTGTCGGATTAGCCCGCGTCACGAGCAAACATGGATTTCGAATCAACTTATACGTTACACACGTGAGTATCTTTGTCAATTTGTTGGCCGAACACATTTAGTTACCGTGGCAGAAAATGTTTGGATCAATAGTTTTGATGAATTAATCCCGAAATTACGGACGTGATGTGACTATACTGCAGATAACTCGGATAACTTGTTGAACAATCCTTCCGAGAATATTCTTCATACGAGAGAGTGGTTCCTTGTTTTTCACACGAGGGAACGCTTGGCTGAAAATTGGCGTGTGCAGATAGTACACGGCGGTGAAGCGCCAGTGTCAACACCGATGTTTTTGTCTCTGCTGATGAGATAGTATATTTCTTATGGCACCCTGATCCTCCACATAGTCTGACTGTTTTCCAACAACGCTAGTGTTTAGCCAAGCACGTCAACGTAAAATCAACTCTGCGGAATATCATATGATTAGCAATCGAAGAAGACATCCACATCTGACCCAATTTCGTCTGTTTGCTCCAAACCAGTCTGGATAGGCACTGATTAGCGCTCAGAACTGGGTTATCATGTTGAGAAGACATCCCGTTCTGTCAGACCGTTTGCTGCTAGGTCCTGCAGCGTTGGATTAGACCGTAATTCGGTCTGTTTCGAAAGCCGCTTCTTAGTGGAACAATTGCAACTTCTCTTCATTCACATGTGACGCAGTAGCTGGGCATTGATCAGCTTCAGAATGGCGGAACATCAGACAACCTTTTATGTGTCTTTACCGTGAAACGAACCCGCATGATTTTAATGCAGACTGTCTAATGTATTGTCAAGAGCAACCTAGGAATCTGTTGCGCGCTGCAGCGCCTTAGGGTTTTCTCTGTATACCGTGTCACCATAGGTTAACTTAGATAAGTCCACCGGGCTAGAAATCAGCTGGCCGTTGTGCTTCTAAATAAAGCAGCAAACAATCGCGAGGTGATGTGGTTAGTTGAATTGCTATGAGCTGATTCGGTGAGAAACATCAACAATGGTTGTCTTTCTGCACGTGCCAGCCTTCAGCGTTATTCAATTTCAAAATTCGTGCCAAAATATGAATAGTTTAAGATCTAATAAGATGAAGAACGACTGACGAGAGAAGAAAGCTTTTGATCACACTATTGGATGTGCCCTATACTTCTCCTTGGCCCATAGCTTCGAATTCCTTGTAGAGAGACTTGGCGAGAGAGAATTATCTCGATTTTCAGAGATCCCTGAACATTATAGAGTAAGCAGGCATGCTACGACACTGTAAGCTAGAGAAACCAGTATCCTGTTCTCCAGTTGCACCATTTGTTCTGCTATTATCAGACAAGAGATTTACTTGGAATGGGAGGGTCCCAACTGTGTCCTCTTGAAATGAGCCCGGCTGACTGATGAGCTCTAGAAGGAGCTAAATCGATACTGATCTCGACAGTAGTTTTCTTTAGCCTTGCTAGAGGAGCACGAGATAGCTGAGTGATTCAGGTGCGAACTTGGTGGTGGTTCGAACTCAACCCTGGCATCTCGATTGCTTCTCTCTAGTCTTCCTCAGTCCTCGTGTTTCCATGGAGTAGTGTGGCAACTGGGCGCCAAAATTTTGCTGCAGCTGAACGATTTAAATCGTTAATTGAAGAGTTCTGAACTTCATCCACTTACTTTATGGCTGTGTGTGCAAACAAAAGGTTGAAAGGGGTTGTACCATTTAAACAAAGAGGTTGTATGATTTTGTTGCGTAATACAGTCATTTACAACGTGTTTCAAGCAAGACTGCTTAGCTTGATTTCACAATCTCCCGCAGGTCGGTTTTCTCATTGATCGGTAGTAGTAGTAGCCATGTACCGATAAACTGACTGCAAATAACCTCCTCTACTTCAAACGAAAATATTCTACATTTTCATGGCAGACAGCAACGGTCCCCACCAGCCTCCTATGCCATGTCCAGCCTTTAGTAACTCAGAAGTGCTGAGTGCTCTCACTTGTTCTGTTGATTCAAACATAGAGCATCGCAGCAAGACATCACGTGTTTGTTGAAGGCTAAACCAGGCAAACCAACGTGTGATTCTCTTGATTTTAACCTTTTTTGCCTACGTATCAGTTTTTAAAGTGCGTTGGTTTGCAAACGCAACTCCAGGGTGACCCCTCTTTTTCTGTCTTTTGAAACTGCTGATATCACGCTCTAACATGATCTCAGGAACCGGTTTTGGTTGTTGGGAGGTATCAGTGTGTGTTCTCAAGAGATGACAAAGAATGTTTCAATCCAGATACGGTCCAAACTTTCGAGCATAAATTCATTTTTTCCGGCGCTGCGCCCTTAGCAACCCATAACACTGAGATCAATGGTTTGTTGCAGTGGCGACTACGAACCCCATAACCACATTGATGATAGTTGATGATTAGGCAGCCGAATGTGGCCGCCAGGCGCTGAGGTGATAGTGTGGTTGCGCCCCAGAACTTATTTCGCCCCATTGATTTTTTATGCTGAGTATGGTGTCTCGCTTTATGGGACCACCTCTGTTCGTGCTGGCAACCATAACTCTCTCCGCTTACGACGAAGGCATTTATGAGGACTACTAGAATGGCGGAATTCCGCGTCCGCTGCAAATAGGCTGGAGCTTGTGGTAGTGCGGCAGTTTGCGCACCTCTGACCTATTGAGCTATACTTCGGAGTTACACTTTGACGCTCGCAGAGTGTCTCATGCAAGATTGATCAGCGGATGGAGGTCTGACGAACATACTTCTTGTTGCTACAGGTTGGGGGATTGGAATGGGCGCGGTGGCTTGTTCAGATAGTTGCACTACTGTGATAGTATGCTGGGAACCACCCGCTGCCTTTCAGGCTTTTACACTTTGACGCTCGCAGAGTGTCTCATGCAAGATTGATCAGCGGATGGAGGTCTGACGAACATACTTCTTGTTGCTACAGGTTGGGGGATTGGAATGGGCGCGGTGGCTTGTTCAGATAGTTGCACTACTGTGATAGTATGCTGGGAACCACCCGCTGCCTTGCGGTCAGGCTTTTGAGCCAGTCTTTAGGGTTCTAGGCACCCTCCTGCCTAGATTTGGCGACCTAGCAACACTCCAGCCTACCTACAACCGTAAACCTCACAGCTGAAAGTGTTGTCATTCTTAGTCGGCTGTCTCGCAGCTATATCAGCCAGGTCGCGTTACTTGCTGCGTACAACAGGACGGGTAAGCGGAAAGTACTACTGCTGACGTCTCCTTTCTTCAATTTCCACTTATTCCTTCTCTTCTCCACTTCCTCTACAGGTTCCAGCACCAGCACCGACTTTGTTTTCTGTCTTGCTCCGGCTTCTGCGCTTCTATCTTCAGTAACAGCCCTAAGCACTTCCGGTCCACTTAGTTGCTTTTAATGTCCACACACCGAAACCAGTGAGACAACAGGGTTGCTTGTACGCTGGATTCTGCTTTAGTATATACTGTTTGTTGAAAATAAAAATCCAGGACGCAAGTACTGTAGTTAAATTGACTACCCTTCACTTCCTTCCCACTTCCTGCTGCGCGCCTCTGCTGACGTGGAGGCCGTTGTAGCTGGATGTGCCGGGGTAGTTTTTCTGTTGATCCACCGAGCGGAGGTGTCTGTACTTGATTGCATACCTGTTGATAGTCGCCTTGGATGGTCTGTCTTTAAGCGTCCGTGAAAGGATCTCGAGAAAGTGAAGTCCATCATTCCCGGTGTATTGTATCTGCTTACTTCCCAAAAGATTGTGAACATACCAATGACAGTCCTTATAAAGCTTTAGGTTCTCTTCTATAACTGACTCAAATCCCGTGGATCCTGAAGTAAATAGGTGAAGAAATTTATTCACCTGGAGATCCGGTACACTAGTGGTCATACGTTCGATCAGCTTAAACGGGCCTTAAGCATGCCCTTGCGCCGGGCCTACGCCGCAACGTAGCTGGCCGTTTTCGCTATACCACTACGGTCAATCAGAACTCAAAGGTCACTTTTGTCAACTGGTTATTGCATTTACCAAGCCACCTGCAGTTGCGAGGATGCACACATTGGTGAAGCTAATCGGAGACTAGAAACATGATTAAAACGACCTGCCTAGGCGAATTCCTACTTTCTCAGCTGCTCTTGCTTTAAATTGGCAGAAGTCGAGGATTGGATAATCCATTATTAGAAATCCGGTCAAGGTAGGATGCAGAGTTAAAGTTTATTCTTTTTTTCCAAGTCATAGCATGGAGCAGTCGTTCACATGGACCGAAACCCCTCGATACAAGAATGATTAATCGATTCTGGTGTGTATTGTGCGCTCAGAAATATCAGAAACTCACTCTGAGTCTACCTTGATTTTACTGACCGGTCACCTTACGGTTTAGTTTCACTTAAACGATGCAGCCAGCCCCAGTTTTTCGTTTCATTTAACTGGGCTTCGCACCTATTGCGTCGGGCAAATTTTTACGAAATGATTCTCTCGCATGTCTTTGTTGCTCGCGCCACTTTGATCACAAATTACCTCTTCAACGAGCGTCTGCTGATACGATGTAGGATATTAACCATCACTGTACCGATATATCCAAAGTTTTACATGATGCCGAGACTACCTGTGGTACAGTCCACTCAACCTCTTCCAATCATTGGATCTTTGATAAGACTGTCACTTTGCTGAACCCCCAGCGACGGTTCTGGTCGCAACCATCATCGACGCATCGTCTGACGCCAGGTAAAGCCGAGTGTCCGCGCAGACCGAGAATCTTCGTAGATACGGAAGGCCAGGAGATTTTCGTCTGTGAAGTCGTCAGGAACCACAGTGGCTGCGATATCTATCAAGCAAAATTTTTGGATCATTTTGCACAGTACTTCAAACAACGATACAGTTGACCACGTGCTGACTCTAACGAGCCATTGGCCTGTAAATATGGAACCCCTTCCATGTCCGAACGTATATCTCTACTCAAGCGTCATCGCTCCCCTTATCCCGATGACTCTTTGGCTTCTCTGTTCAAAGATGGCGGTGAACTCTTGTCAGTGCCTGTTTCGCCTATTTGGGTCTATCTTGGAGAAACATACTGTTCCAGATAACTGGTGTGAGTCCATAATAGTGCCCATCTTCAAAAGTTTACAATGAATTTAGTCACCACTGAAGCGTCAGTTTGACTCGTTTTAACAAGATATCTTTTGTCACAGATTCTTCCTTTTTCTACGGCGGCATGCGAAACATCACCCATGAGCACCAAGTGGGATTTCCGCAAGTTGGAGGCTGCATTGACCGCATCTTCATACAACGTCAAGTGTTAAAGCAACGCAGCATACGCAGATGGCCCATAATCTTGGTGTTTCTTCATTTCAGGAATGTGTTCGATTTTGTCGGCCAGTTAGTATGTCTCACTATAGTTGCTCAACAGGGCATGTCCCAGAAGGCTGTAGACATAGTCCCGTCTCTATTCCCACATACTCCGGGACGTGTGAAATTGTTCAGGGAGCTCTCCGAAAACTTCCCTACAAGAAAAGGTGTTTGGCACGGATGTCCACTCTCTCTATTTTCGTTCAATTTCGTCATTGATGAAGTAGGTGAACCCTGAAGAGTCTTCAGAACCCCGGTGTTCAAATCGTTGCCTGTGAGGGTCTTGTCGATCTGGAGTGCACAAACGACACCGTTTTATTTATTGAAGACGAAGGTGAAGCACATTCTTTGTCGATCAAACTGACCACCGTCACAGCACCTTTCACCATACATGTTGCTCCGTCAGATTGCAAATCAAGTTGCAGTCTTGTAACGTATCCGTTCTAATTCAAGGAGATACTCCGGAGGTTGTGTGGGATTTTGCGTACTTTTGTATTTGTAATTGTTCTGACTGAAGTGCGTCTAATGAACTCATTGCTTGAATCTCAGTGATTCGGTTTTCGCAGCTTTTGTTGTCAAAACGTTTCAAGGCTCAAATGTACCTAGCCACAGTGGTAGCTGTTTTGCTGTATGGTTGCGAGCATGGTCCTTGCAGACAAGTAACCTGAAGCGTCAACAGGTTTTTGACTAGTGATGTACCGGAAGCGTTAATATCAGATGCCGCCAATGTATTCATGAGGAGGTAATTAGGGGACGGCTATTTTGTTTTCCAATCGTGGAATACATTCACCACCGTCAACTGCATTAGATTAGCCATGTGCTACGCATGCCGAAGCATCGTCCACCGAAACGAGTGTTGTCCTCGCTATCTGAGTCAGAATGGCATATACTGTAGGGTGGATAATGTGGGACTTTGTAGAAAGATGTGAAAGGCTTTTCGGTGAGTATGAACATTGGAACGATCCGCCTTCCAGGATGGGGACCCCGTTACCTTCTCGGGCTGTGCTGGAAACCTTGCAAGTGTTGGTGGCATCCGTCTTGTCAGTTTCCACATTATCCGCTAGACCTTTGAAGGTGTAGGCATCCCAGAATTCTTGTGGTAGCTTAGCACTAGGTCCCTTCCTCATCCATTGCTTCGTTTTTTCCACTTCATCTCTAAGTGTAACTGAATAAACTTTGTCTGTAGGGCAGTGAGGCATCAATGTAAATACTAACGTTGCTGTCTCTGATTGATCGCTTCAATTCGAATCTTGCATGAGGGCTCAATCTTTGAATAGGTGCAGGGTTTAATGGTCATACAGAGTCTCACACTTTTACTACTTCTAAGTCTTTGGACATCCACTAAGCTTTTATTCACTGCATATTTTCTTCCTCACAGCTTATAGCACGCTATGAACTGGATCGAACCAAAGATCACTACGAAGGTCACCGCATATCACAGCTGATTGAACTGTTGCAATTCATACGCACAACTTCTGGTTCCGTAGATGGCTTCATTGTTGCCGGTGATTTCAATCTGGAGTCAGACACGACGGCCATCAAGTTGTTCCGCACCCATCTCGGAGCTTCAGACGCGTGGCTTGACAATGTATGTTTTCTGTGATAACGGTGTTTTATGCAAACAGGGGTCGACTAAGTGTATAACTATAGCGAAAACAACCGGCCGGAGATTTGTTTTCAATATGGAGAGCAGTGGTAATTCTGTTGGCTAAAATTTTTTTTTGGGCCTTCAATCACTCAAATGGCGGATAGCACCTATTCTTCGTGTCACATGCTAGTGGACGCATTCATGTATCCCACCGTTTAAATTTTCAAGTGTATCAGGATTGAGGTACGAATGCGCAAGGATAGCGGGTGTATCACGATATCCAGTAATAATTGAATTTTTGTTCTCTTTTTCCCAGGATAGTAGTTACTCCTTCGAGACAAACTCTTCTAGTTGTCAAAATCTCTGCCTTAGGTTTGCCCTCAACAGTGAAAATCTCGAGATGCTCAACTACAAACTTCCTACTGATACTAACACTACACCTGCGGTTTCGTGATCTGACAGTTGGACGAAAGACCAACGTAAATGAACTGTGTGCCTTAAGCCAACGTTTATGAGACGTAATTTGGACATGCCGTGTCTGGCGAGCCTAAGCAGACGAAAGATTGCGGGATTACCAAGATTGTATGAATAACCTGTTAGGACGCCAGGATGGGGCTATGTCGACCAAGTAATAACCCCATGCGGAATCCTAGAATGCATGTAAAAATCTAAATAACCCAAAAACATTGCTTCCTGAATCCCCCCATCCGTGGTCAACAGGGAATCATTAGCTTCATAGAGTTGCACTGCCTATCGACTCGAAGTTGAATCCGTTTGTGCAGTAATGAATCAGAATTATTTCCTATAACGAGTGTGATGGCTAAGCCTACCACTACCCGTGCCGCTTTTTTGCTACAGACTGGACAACATTACAGGTACTTTTCGTCAGTCCAGTTGTCCAGGCAAGTCGAGGTTTTGGTCTGCATAAGTGAAATGTACGGACATCATGATGAGGCAAGATGATAGTTCAATTAGCTCTCTCTCCAATTTATTTGTATGCGAGCTCCATTGGGCCGCAGCTCGACTTTGGTCGCTCGACTTCTGGTTACCTTGGGCTGACCACACTCCTGAATGTCCACACATGGTACTGGAGCTTGCATACTTGAAGATCGTCGGCGGGTCGTCTCGAGAGTTTTAGAGAGTAAAAGATATCGGGGTGTCTTAGTATGATAGAGGTAATGGTATTTAATGGCAGGATGTCATCTCAAGCTGCTTGCCACCCAGAAGCGATAGTCAGTGCGCAACATATAGGTGATTGAGGCACAGGAATATGTTTTTGTTAGCCGCATCCGTAGTTGACAGTGCGACTTCAGCATGGCTTATCTTGTCTCTTCATTATTGCGAACATGATATCTTATTCCAGGAGTTTGGTTTGCTGGTCAACGTTTCAATTTGGGCACAAAAGGCCCATCGGGCCAAGCAACAAAGTTACGAATTTGGTCGAGTTTTAAGGCAGGAGAACCGATGAGCTTTAGGTGTCGGGTGAGGGATTTTGTTTGTAAGAATCGGTCAGCAAGTGTTAAGATTGAGGGTATGAGGGGAAACCTACAAGAATTGTGAGCAACCCTCAGGATTGGGCTTCACGTGAAATGGACCGGAAGAACTACACTCTATGTGCGACACATATTCGTGTAAGTTTCCCGCTAGCCTATCGATCTTAGCACTTGCTGATCCACCTTAACAAACAAAATCCTATGGCTGACGCTTGGCACTAATTTAGCTTGCTACTAGGAAGAGATCTTGCTGATTGGTCCTCATTCTTCCTCGAAACTCCACTAATCTCTGATTACTTGGCCTGACAAAGCCTTCATGCCAAAAGCGAGACAGTGTCCAGTAATCTCAGACGTTTTCCAACAGACGCCATCTTTCTGTTTCTCCAAAATTCCTGTAGCCGTCAGCTCTTAAACACGCCGGAGGGGATGCACTAGAAAGCGAAGGTTGTACTTGTGATCGCGCGGACAACCCTTACCGAAACGACGAATGGACGAAGTACTACGGAAATGGAGAGCGCTTGGATTATATTTTCTATCGCACGGGCCCTGGACCTGCGGACCCTCATTCCTCGCCAAGTGAGTCTTTTTCTCCCACGATCATTGCTAACCTCTCAGATCTATATAGAGCACACGCTTTTGTGTCTCATCATGTTACCGAATCGATATGAAAAAGTGATTTGGCACCCAACTCTGATTTGCATATCCACGTTATGACGACTTTCTGTGAACACGTATTTTTTGAACCAGCTCGTACTTTTACTGTTAGGGTTAACTCAATAGTCTTCTTAAATTTCCATCGATCGATGAGAGACCGACCGAGATCTCTAAAAATCTAATTGGTCACCCATCTTTTCCAAATCGTATTGATTTTTTATTTACTGCGAACAATTACCTCTCATGCAAAAATCATCTGTGTTCATGCAGAACCTGGAAGATGGATTTATCTGGTATGCACCCGTACATGAATCCAATAATCTGACAATGGTGAAGCACGTGTTGTTGTGAGTTGAATGACACACCACGCCTACGTTAAGCACTGCTGACCATCAGAATACACAAAACGCTGTCAGCTAGGTGGGGTTTTGTGTTCATCCCCATGTGCCCCAGTCATATTGTGATCCAGGTTGTCATTTATGTTGTCTAATGCAGCGGTTTGTGGCTGTCTTTCATTCGACGCGCTCGTTTTGATCCGTGGTCAGTTAGCTGGAACCCCTCGGTTTTGAAGCACCACCATGCCCTTCTACCTTCAAGTGCAACCGGACCTTCCGGTCAGATAAGCTATCCCAAGCGTTGTTCAAAGATGTAGGGGAATCTTCGTGTTCCGATCTGACTATTTTTTCTTACGTAATTGTGAAAATGAGCGTTCCCCGTGGAATTGGGGCCAATCGATGATCGTGCCCGTGTAACTGAACCTACTGGGGTATAAATTTCATGCTTTTCGCTACAGTACTGGCTTCCTTATATTGCATCGCTGGCTGCGGACACGAGACGGAAGTCCGAGAAAATCGAGCAGATTTTCGTCCTGACAATACGTCATGTGCTTAAACAGCGCATGACCTTGAAGTTCGTAAAAACTCTTCGTGCCCCTCATTCCCATTTCTTCAATCGCTTTAGGGCATACAGTGAACTTTGTAGAAGGCTCCTGATAACTGATGAAGTTCGTCAAGGCTACTCTTTTCTCTTTTGCTCAATTTTTTCATCCACGCTATCATGGAGTGCACACTCCATCAGACCATAAATCTAGATATAGAAATCACATCTAGAGAGAGGTTGATGAACTTGGATCACACGGGTGACATCGTTTTGTCGTTTGCCGATTACTCATCTGCCCAAGCTGATCGAAGCAACACCCACCGTCCTCTGTTGGGCGCTCTCCGTCATGGACAACAACAGTCACTGAGAGTGTTGTGTCGGTGCGTGCAATGCTGTAAACTCGAAAAACTGGCCAGGTAAAGTCATAAAAATGATGTGGTCTCAGCAAGAAACTGGACAGGATGAATGCAACACAAGTAGACGAACTAGACACGGAATAAACACAATACACCACTCAGGTTTTTGAAAACTCTTCAGCAGCCTATGGTTCTTGCCTATCGTTGAGCTCATTAGGTAAGGACAGTACCATAGTTTCCGTCAACCTTATGTTCCAAACCGCATGAAGTTCGACTAATGCATCCATTTGCATACCAATTTGATTTTTACATGTGCTTCATCTGGAACCCAACTGATTATGGTCTGTGATGTTCATCTGAAATATGAGGCGTCCTGGTACAACACATCCAGTTGAGGAAAAACATCGTAAACTAGAGATTCATCTTGGTTCCAAATGAGTCTCCCGTTGAAATCAAATTGGTGTGCGGATAAGTATACTTGTAGCCGCAGAATACTTCGCACACAGTTTCGCGTATGTAATGTAGAGTTGATAAAAATATCAATCTTGCACTGCAACTACCGGTTTTCGGAGTTTAACTCCCAAGTATGACTCCAGTCATACACCAAAAACATTAATTTTGTGTAAAAATTAACCTACTACGTGGTACTTGAAGAAAAACTGTGTGATAGAAACAGAGTACAAAATTTGTCACACGTACACCTATGCCCATGTTATTCTCATCATTCACAGGTTTACGGTAGGTACACTGGCTGGCGTTTTTGACATTTTTTAAATAAAGAAAACGGAGTATCCAATCGGCTGAAATTGCACACTGGATCTCCATTACGTACGGATATTTCGGAGTCAGCATGATGCGTCCGTGCATTTATGATAGCTGTGCAGTACTTAATTTATTTGAAGAACAAGTGTTAATATTCAACAGCAATGAACATTGGACAACGGTTAGAAGGTAGAAATCGTTTTAGTAGATTTTGCAATGATAAGTTCATGTACACGTGACGTGGAGGAAAAGGTGCATTTAGGGACGGATGCAGGTGCTGACCAACCGCCTACTGGACGGGTGATGTACCGACTGAATCACCGAGTCTGTTCGTTCTGTGCCAAGTTTACCTACCTGCATTCCACAGCTGATTCTGCCCCCACGGAATTACAGTTGATGTCTGTCAGTGCTACTAATGCGCTTCTTGTTTAACTCGGGGCAGTGTGCCCACATGTTGGTATCTTCAAGGTGTTGAAAGGGCATTGGTTTAAATTGTTAGAAAGTAAAACGGAGTTTGGTAAGTGTTGAAATGAGAAGTCCAAATTCGGGTAGAATGAACGAGACGGGGGACAGACACCAGTCGTTCTTTGGGTCTCAGGACGATGTGTCTTTCCTATTGTGAAGGTCGCAGAACAGAGTCAGTAAGGACATTTACAGATACCGGTTGTTATTCCGTTAGGCATAGGTGTGACGAGTCATCTGTGAGGTTCGTGTGCGTAATCGTGACAGGGAGCAAACGGCCTCGGTAAATCACCGTCCGGTAGGTGTAAGTCGGTAATTCTAGTCCACCCCGGACGTAATGCTTCATTCATGCTACGTGTACGTGGGTTTCTCACTTAAGTATCACTTGAATAGGATCATGGAATGTCTGTATAGTACGAATAATATAAGACGGTATGTAATCGGGAACTTAGAACTCTTCTGGAGACGTTGAAAATGGGGGGGGGGAGCTTCCGACGTGGCATTTTCAGATGCGAGGCTTTGGCTCTGCGGTGGACAGCAAAGTAAAGACTTTGCTGTTGTTCTCCTACGCTCGACCTCATTAGAATAATACGAATACGCTACTTTTACTGATGGCGACCACACATCTGTTTCCATCTTGCCCAGTTGAGAAACCGATTTTTTTTGCAAAAAATAATCGTTTCGGATTAACAAGCATGCAAATATGCGAAATGCCACGAAATTAGTTGTAAGCACTACCAAAATTGTGCAAGTACAAAAAAAATCCGCAGATACAAATTTGTCAGTTTTTAACGAAAATTTCGCGGATCAGTAAATTGAATCATGAGGTGAGCATCTGAAAGTTGTTGACCTTATTGAAGTGCTTCATCTGCCTCGGAGAAAACGCATGCGTTACATCCCGTGAATGTAGAATAATCACTTAGTCAGCATGCTTCTGAAAACTTCATTCTCAACTACCGTCAGTCTGTCTCAATCAGTGGTGTCTTCCAACCGTGTACTATCGTGTTCTACGGCAGCTATCGTCTCACTTTAGTCACTTAACTGGTCGTTGCAACAACGGACAAAGTGTTTTTTTTTCACCCGGCATTTACCCGGAAAAATGCACCTAATGGCCGACTGAATCGATATTCTGTGAAATGCACCTGTTAGGACTATCTCGTCTGTCCGCTACCTTCCGAACAACGTACGCTACATTTGACTTTCGAGCTAGCCATTTACGGAACGCAACAAATGGCGCCGCTGCTTAACCTGCATGCGTTTAACACTCATTCTGTAGTGTTCGAACTAACAAATATTCAAGGAAGACGGCGTTCTCAACCTTAGTTGAACGTAGTTCATATAAAGACTTGCCTTAGACTTGTCTTTGATGTAGTTATACTATTGAAATTTTTCCTCATCTGTCGTTTCCACTCGGCTGGGCTAACAACTCATTACTTGTAGTTAGTGTTGCACTGGCGTTCTTTTATTGGCAGGTGCGCCCCAGAATGCTGTTGAATCGTTAGTGTTGTTTTACCTTAAGCCATAGATTCCGCTCTTGACGCGATCCGACAGAGCAGTTCACAAACAGACCACACATCAACCAAGGCTTGTGCTGTATCTTGAATTTACAGTTTTTTCAGCAGTTTTTAACAGCTACTATGAGTGGACCGACTTAGCCTACTCTGGACCCCGTTTGAACCAATTTTCTCACTTACTGGCTGTGAAGTTGGATAGATGCGTTTCCACCTATCTTTTTAATCGACTTCAAATGTAACGCAGGCGTCTCATTATAGGACCTACGAGAACCAGCTGGGCTTCTACTCAGACAGACAGTCTGGTTGTCAACTGACGGCACATGTCGTGAGCACAAGTTTGCTGTCTTTTACTTCACTTTCCTTAACCAATCGCAGAGATAAGAAAAACCCAGCCTGGAAATTGGACCAAACCATAATTACTCTAACTTTCCATAGGTGTCTTCGGGCAAGCGGCCAAAGCTCTCGCTATCCCGTGGTGTTTAACACTAAAACAATCGTGACGTCGAAGATGACAGCAGGTACATTTTAAAGAAACGTAACTTTTACTTTTTGAGATACAACACTATCGCTCCACCACATTATGACCTAGAACGTTCCCACCTTTGTGACAAAATAGCTATAAATCGAATTCATTTTTCCTTATTGATATAGCTGCTGAAATTTAGAGTGAATGACAGGCTCTGGTATTTGCAAACGCCGGGACTCCCCAGACAGTAGTTCGCTTGTTATGAGTCCCTGTCTGTCAATACTACCATAATTAACATTTAATTTTGTAAGCTACTTTGTTGGCCTCAATGGCCACTCACTCGTCTATGATCACAGAGGAACGGGTCCAGTCATATTCAGAAGAACCAGCGTGTAACCTTGTGTTATGGTAGGACGCACATCTCTGTTGTTGAATTGTTCATATTTTCCTAGGTGGCTGCGACTGAGCAGTGAATACCTCTTGTCTGATGCGTACATACATACAACCATAATGAACATGACTAATACGGATTCAAGTCGCAATTGCTGATTGACAGTGAAACCAAATGTTATCACTTAGCTTGGTATGTCTTTTGAAAAGCAGCCACATGGCGGCTTGCATTGGTAGACGTTGCGCGTTGTCGGTGTGTCGATATTTTCTATTCACCAGGTTACTTGTATACTACGGAAGCGGGAAACAGCTGGATAAACTTGTTCAGTTAACACAGACTGATCTTTCAAGAGGGCCATCGTATGGATGTTCAGTCCACAAGAGAGCGAAAGTTATGCAAAACGCTTCAGGTATTTATGTTTCCTGAAGGCGATTTGTCTTGTCATAGGCCGACACTCAGGCGCAGTCATCTGCTGAATGACAGACATGTAAAGTCAGGTAGACAGCCTTTCTGAGGAGGTTCTCTTTGTAGCGCCGTTTCTCACCCCTTCGGATGGAAGACAACTGGGGAAATAAAGATGATTCGCATGGGGATCGTTGAGCCTCAAAAGCCTTCTATAAGACTTGCTCCTATTCCGCATGTGGGATAGACACATTCTGCGAATAACTGACTGTGAGACGAATGCCACTAACATCTGGTGGGCTTGCTCCCCGCTGTGCGTTATCTAACCTTGTAGAACCGATCCTTGGATAATTGAGATTTGAACATATGCACCGTGCGCTGCTTTTTTTGAAACTGCGTTATTATATGGTCCGAACGTTTGTTCCGATGCCACTTTGTGTCCCAGTCTGTTTTACGTTCCATAATTCCCTCCTAACTCCGCCACTGTTACTTCCTGTTTTGTGGTTATTTGCGTAATGGTTCATTCTGTTTGCTTCAAAGCTTTTCTCGACCGTTTCAGTGTTCAAGGTCACAAGCCAGCGTGCAACGGCGCGAAATTCTGGTTGCAACTTTTCACTCAACCGGACAATGCTTTAGAGGTCTCTTTTCGATTGAGCTGACTCTTGTCTTTTTGGAAATAGCCGTAGCAAAGTAATCAACTACTGGTAATCGAAGTTACATGGAGAACTCCACGGTTCTGTTTTGTCTGGGAGCTTCCAAATCGGATCACGAAAATAGACGAAACAGCTCACCTGACAAGTACAGGACGTCGTTATTTCTCCGAACAATTAGACGTGCAACATTTTTATCGGATTCGACTGGACCTCCCAACTCACTTCGTTCTCGTATGAGTGCAACCTGGTCTGCTTGACTTTGGTACACACCATTTATGTGGGATGTCCACCCGTTACACCTTCACTCAGGCGCTCTAGGTATACATAATTTCTCAGTGTGATTTTTATGGCTGGCTCCAATCATATTCTACCAAAAGATTTAGTTCGTAATGCTCATTTTTATTATTTCTCTTGAAATCAGACCTGGTAAGGCTCAGTTGCGAACAGTGCTGGCTGGATCTACGCGAAGTGCCAGATGAGCCCACTGGGTTGCACTACTCAGATCACGAAGGTGTTGGGGCCTTGTTCAAGCTTACCCGGGTACCGCCAAGTCAGCCTGTTGGTAAGCGCCTGATCCCGTATGTAGTGCGAATGACAAACCTGGAGTTGTTCTTACTACTGACGTTATAAAATGCAATGATTTCTTCTGAAAGTTCTCTGTTCCCACTATTCGGACTTTCATAGATAGGTATTGTGATATGCGCATCACTCTCAACCTCTTCGGATAAACTAGTGACTTCATTTGATAATCTCCAATTATCCGGAACGTGGGCAGCCTGTGGTGTTGTACACTGATTCGAAAATTGATTTCCTGTTACAGGAGACTCGACAGGAATTCAACCAAATCTCTTATCTATGGTAATATCCATAACTGCAATTGCTGAACAAAGACCGCCCTATGTTTCTTTCGGACGATATTCAAGGTAATGAAGTAATTTTTCCTTACACCATCACTTATAAGGTTGTGAGGACCCTTCGACAGTCCACTATTCAACTTTGTCCCACGCCAGCACCAGATGTATAACTGCAGTATATAACTGCAGTGTATAACTACAGTTACAGAACATAGGGTTAACAAAGACTCGAGAACTACGCTTATCGCTTAGCTTCAACAAGGACGAAGTCGGAAGTGGGTTGTCAATGGGTTTTCCTGAACATTTTGAGTAGCGTTGTGTTAACGACGGCTTGACGCTCGTGATTCAGTCCATCAGAGCAAATTGACTTTGGTAATCGCTATCCAAACCCGTTGGATATATCACGGACAAGTATTGTTACTCCTCATCATCAGTGCTCAATATATCGCTTCCCAACAACAACTGGATTCTGTCCCGTTGTGTGAAAGCTTATAACCTTGGTCTCGAATAGGCGTTTATTGCTTGTTACAACCGACCGACAAACACACTTAGGAGTAGTTGACGGCGTATAATGCTCAATCAAGGCGACTCAGTCGGCGCATGAATTTTTACCAGTTTTGTATTTGCCCAATCATTATCCGCTTACGCAGATTGACCTTCAACTAGTACTCACACTTTTAGCTAATCTCATGTTAATTAGTTGTTTCACCCTATCCTGCTTGGTCGAAGTACATTTGACCCCTGAACAGAATACCCCATATGGCGTGCTCGCTCCGGTGTTTTTTGTCTCTTGATCAGTTGGTCCGGGTGAGTCATATTTCGGTAAAATTGACCTTTTCCCTTCTAAATAGGTCGGCTCCACTTCACCATCAACCTTGAACTTGGAATCTAGACGATTCACCCTTCAAGCAGCCCAATTTCATTTTTAGCCTGCTTATAAAAAGTAGTAATCACTAGTTATGGTACTTGGAGCACACAATGAATATGAAATGCTGATGAGGCCATCTTTGGTCAACACTAAAACAATTACTGGTTATGAGACACAGTCACATTCACTTACACAAATGGACTGTTTGGGCACGTTCTCGTCCGAACATGGAGTATAAGCTCCTCGATTTTATCAGACTGAAACTGCGATGAACCACATGCAATCCTCTAGCTTGATCAAATGGTTCCGAGCATTTGACTGTTTCCAGGCCTATTCCTGTGGTGAGCATAGACGGTATGCTACTCCTGGGCACGAGATCATTTGGTGTCGGCTCACTGAGCATCGCCAGTCGCATGACCTTTACTATCGAGGTTGTCGGCTCATCAGAAATGTATGTACAAACTAGATGGTCGTCCACTCAAATTGGCTTTTTTCAGTTTTATTAAAATAAAACTATATAACTCTCCATCACTGTCGAGTGATCCTGTTCCGAGTTCGAGGAGTTTAAGCGGAAAGGGAGTAGAGTTTTTTTTGGTGAAAAACAGTCAAAAAATCGAATCGGTGCCCAGCTGCCATGCCACCGAAAGGAGGCTTGAGAGATGGAATACTGCCAGGTTGTTCAAGCCTAAACTGTAGCAGTCAACATGCTGTGGATCTTCCAGTATGTAAGCTTTTGCCTTAATCACTTAGCCATCCCGACAGTGCGAAGCTGATTCACAAATAGTTCCGACATTTTTATGCAACTGGGTCGTCCAATTCAACTAACAAACCGTCAGAAGCGTTGTGTTTTTAAATTTGATGGTGGCGTTCGGAGATAGGAGTGTCATGCAAGGGCGCAGTTGTACATTTCCGTCCCACGCCAACAGTTCGCAACTGAGTTAAGTCCAATTTAGCCGCACAAGTAATTGATTTTTCCTTGCATATTTCGTCACCTCACACCGTGAATCCCTTGTGGTTCCAGTATTAGCGCGCAATTCTTTTCCAAAAACTCTTATCCTTCCAGAGACACCACCGGCTCTTGTACCCAGAGAAGTGGAACCAATGCTGCTGGAACTGAGACAGCAGATTGACCGCGGTATGCACCGATGTCGTCAAAACCGTCTGTTTCATGCTGTAACCGGTGTCGCATTCCTCTTGTTCCTTCTGTTACTGTCATTTAATCCCCCACATTATAATTGGATTGGGTCATTTATGTCCATTTTGACCGCAGGTCTTCTAGGAAGCGTCGTGTTTGTGCTTTTCTGGGGCTCGTTAGTGGGTCACACTGCTGAGCGACGAGCATTAGAGAACGGGACTTTGATGGTCGATGTGCTCCTTTCTCAGCTTGAGGGCCTCGCTTCCAACGGATCTACCAAACAAATGACAAACAGCCACTGTAACTAACGGCTGTTTGTAATTTTTGAGGATTTTCCAACCATTGCCACTATTATAAGTCATTTGATGTTTCATCCCTTTTGGTTCCGTCATTAATAATATAGGGTAACTGTGATGTCAGTTTCCAGTGCTCACCAGAACTTTTTATGAACGGTTATTTTCTTCTGTCTATCTTCTTAATAATTGAACAAACCGGTTGAATTCTTCATTTTTCTCCTCTGCTTCTTTCATCCCGGTGTAGTTTAGTCGAGTTTGTTTTAACTTACGTTGTCAGCTTTACTCTGAGAGCCATACATTGTTAATCAGGATTGGTTACTGACATGTTGCTAGTAGTTTGTATTTCACAATCTTTGAATTCTGCTTCTGATGCAACTGCTCTGCGGACCAATCGAATTGCGGTGTGTCGGGAATTTTCGAATTCAGTGCCATAGCTTCACTGTAATCAAGAAGTCGTATACATGCGCGATACCTATCCACCGAAGAGGGGCCATTGTGAGAGAATGGTTTTTGTCCTCTCTTTCAGGTGGTAATGGAGACGATTCCATTTCAGTGCTCTAGGTCCTGAAAAGAACGTGCGGAAATTGTATAGGCTTGGAAAAATCATTCTTTAAATGGAATATTTAGCGCATGAGCGTTGTCCTTTAAACAATCACCACATGACTAAGGTCCTCATCGAGCGGCTAATGAAGGGGAACTATATGTCCATGTGTCGAACTACTAGTTGCTCGGGTGCGTTTACTGGTGGTTGATCATCGGTCACCTGATCAGCCACCAGAGGAATCGTAGCCCAAATTTGTCTACTGTGTGTAGTGTATTTTCAACAGTTATGTCCGATTTAGTAGCCATCGGCACATAAGTTCGTATTTTTTCAACTATGTTCGGAAATGAGCCCTTTGAACTTGAGTTTTCGCCATTCATCATATATTTCATCATATTCTTCGACCCAACCTCAGAGAAACTAAATTGGTCACTAGGACGTACGTGCTGTGGTCACTCTCAAGTTGACCACTTCATTCCATATAGTTGTTTCGACGTACACTGTGAAGCATTCGGTTGAATAAACAGCCAAAGTGTTCTGGATTGCTGGAAGCTTCGCGGTTCACGCTCATCTTTTCCTTTTCGGTGTTCCCGGCAGCCTCATTTCTCGTGCTTACGTACACCGGAAAGAGACCACGTCTGAAGGAACTGATTAGCAACAGTACAATAAAGAATCATCATCAGAGGATACTAAATTCAAATACGCAGAATTACAGACATACACATTCTCAGGATTCCGAGATCAGATTAGTGTGTGTCTAATGGATTAAGCAGAAGCAGATACTTAGATGGACATCTAAGACGACTTAGTAAATCCAAAAATGAACAATAATGGATAATCGGCTGCTGGTGTGATTGAGGCATCATCTGCCTGCGTGATGCAAAAGCTGTCGAGCGTCCAGTTCACATGGCGTGTGCCAAATAAACAAGGCGCAGGTCGTCTTTCAAAACAATGGGTTTTAGTAAGCTGTGAAGTGCCTGCAGATGGTATGAAACCACATATTTGGATCACATTTCCGAAGTGTAACAACAACGGGGATACTTCCTCTTAGAAGGACCGACTAATGATATTAGCATGCAACTAGCCAACAGAGATTCAATAGCTTACCGGACTGAAAACTTCTTTGAACCACACGGCCTTTTGTTAATCACACACTAGCATTCGTATACTGGGACTATGCAGGCACACAGTACGCTTGCGTATCAGATGATTAACTAGTTGGTTTGGTGGTCTTCACTGTCGAATTTGATAACAGAGTCCTAGTGCCTGAGCTTAACGCTTGTTCAAAGTAGCTTGCGGATTCAGCCAGCGGTTGAAGTGATGTGACTGTACCTGCACTCGGCCGAACGGTTACACCAGTATGACAAATAATGATGATTCAGTTGTAGCGATCTTTCGGTAAATTGCTGGCACCTATCCACGAAGGAGGTATGTGAACTGATATACCTTGATGTTTTCCAAGCCTATAGAAGAACAGTCGAAAAGTCTGATTCAGGTTCAAGCCAGGGGCCTTGTAATAGGTAGCTTTGCGCTGTAACTGCTAAGCTGCTTCGAGTACGATTGCGAGTGTGGGATGTGCAGTGGGCCGTGACGAATACTCCAAAGCTTGCGAATGGGTTGGTGAACCACCGAAACACCACAAAACCAGTGCGGTCGCAAAACAGTAAAGTAATACAAAATGTTTTGCCGACCGTAAGGAGAGTAGGTTTTTCCCGAAAGGATGCCTGGTTTTCTTGGAATCTGTTTTGCTCTTAAGGGTTATTTTGCATGCCATGTCTGGCTGAAATGGCTGTGAATGTTCCTTTATTGCAACGTCAACCTTGGAATTTTAAGACGCCAGCAACTGCCTTTCCTGTTCTGTTCGGTTTAGTAGCTTACTCCGAATATCTTATTCTTGGACGAGACGAAGATCAGATATATGAATTGGTCATCGGTCAATATGATGAGCCTGAAGCGCGCCCACTGTTTGTTTAGCACACCGGTTTACGTGGTGAAGCCTTCAGTAACTATTTTGGTGATTTTCAGACACTGATAGCAAATATTGAACGAGATAATTTACTTAGTGAATATGTGATTCAGGACCTCGATGGTTTCTGCGAAGCCAAAGTCACGATGGAGTTTGGGGCGTTGGAAATTTGTGGACCGATCCTGTTCTGTTGTCCTCAGATTCTGCAGCAACAATCAAACTTTCATGTCACCACACTGAGCAAAGTCGGTTTGAAACATGTTCCCATAATTATTGAACCAACTTTCGTAATTTCGTTCAGATCCAACATCAAAATTGAATTCAGTACTTAAGCTGGCAACAGCATCTGCGTAAGAAGACGGAGCCCAGCTGTTTTTGTCGTGTTCTCCGGTATGCTGTGAATCGCGTATTTAGCAAACCTCATTTGAGCTCATTCGAACTACTTTGGTTGGGGGTATGAAGTCGCCTGTGGTCGATTTTCTGAAACTGACATCGCAGATTTATGTTGATGCCAGTTTGTATTGACTTGCTGTTTTGCTGTTTTCGAATTGTGACTATCCAATAGTTAATGCCTCAAGGTACCACATCAGCTTAACTAGGAATAACTGTCTCCCATACGCATGTAAATGTCTGAAAATATGTTGTCTGAAACACAGTTCGATACACCGGATAGAATGGTCATCATGAGGAGATCTTTTACCCGAACAAAAGCTATGTGAGAAGTCATGGTGTGGAGAATTACTAGGCCCGTGCTATTTGGCAGTTTGCATAGCAGCAATACGTAAAAGACGGTGTATTGAGATGTAGCCCAAAACCAAATCAGATTATGATTAGATAAATGAAACTTTTCCCAGTCCTTAAAGGCTATAAATAAACCTTACAAACGGCTTTCAACGAACCGGAAGGTCCGTGGTTCGAACACGACTTCCGCCTCTCGATTCCCCCTGTCTAGGCTTGGGCAACCTGGGATTATCCCAGCCCTCGTGCTTCCTTCGGGTAGCATGCCAGTTAGGCACCGGAAGGGTGCTACAGCTGGACAATTTTCTTCACTTTAAGCAAACTACCAATATATTTTCTCCAACTAGGGGACTTTTGCATGGAGGGATCTCTTTTTGAGGTTTGCTTTCTTACTCTATGCGCCACACTTGGTAGTGGCTAACAACATATGCGTATGTGATCTTTTGACGAAACTCTCACGCTGTTTCTTTGTGCAACCCGGATATTTTGGCCGAAGTCGAACAGTTCTGCATAAGTCTCATTTGTAGGCGTATCACACTGTGATTACATAGACTGGAGGAACACTGTGACGTGTCTTCCGGCGCTAATTGCTGGTCACTTGCCCCACCATCTGGCGAGTAGAACCAGGTCAAAGTCCTGGACAAATCCGTTAACTTGAGTGCTACGCTATTGGGGCAATTTTTCCCCACACAAACATGTTCTTCTTGGACGGAGGCTTCTGAGAAAGGATTCTCATGAAGATGAAATGCCGTATTTGAACCCGCCAAAAACTGTTTCTTTCTTCGGTGTATTTCCTTAGAAGGGAGTTTTCCACAAGGATGAGTTACCAGATGTAGAGCTTCATATCAACTTCAACAAGAATTTTGCACGAATTTTTGTATGTGGATATGTGAATAATCGTATTTAAGATGAATTACCAAAGGAGCTTGGAATTAAGGACAATTCATCGTTTCCGACCATGCTTTTTGGTTGATATAATGGCGAAATTTTATACGCGCCATATCATTCCTTATTCTGGAGGACTGTCAAAATATCTCGTTTCAGTTGGTCTCGCTGTCGTCTGTGCGACTGTCTACCCAGAAACAGTTTTAGGAATTACAGATGGAGTCTAGCGATGGCGGCAGAGCTGTACATAGGGTTCTGTGTCGCAATCTCAGGCCAGGGGCTCAGCCGGTGTGGAAATGCTAACCACTGAGATCCGGATGTATAAGACATACACTTAATGTGATCCACAAGTATCACAAGCAGAAATTTTCATAGGTACTCGTTAACTCGACTGATGACTGGGCGTTTGAAACTGTTTCTCACTGCTTAACAGGGTTTGTCGACAATGTAATTTGTCGGTCCCCTTCGATAATTTTGGTTTGGTAAAGTAAGGGTAAAATTTAGGTCCTTCTGTTTTGTCACTTGAGCTTGTGGGGCGATGGTAGGTGATTTGAAGGTTTCAAGGCGTGTGTCAGACGTTTTCGGACCCAAACATTTGAACTAGTGATTATGACCTAACTTCACCTCTTCTTTGGATCGTTTTCTTTCACGGTTTACTAGTCTTTTTTATTATAAAAATAATTTTCTTGCTTGGCTGCGCTCTTCTTTGAAAGTGGAATTTGTTGGTAGACAGACAACGTTATCTGATAGTGAGTTCCGGGATGAAATCGTTGTTGTCTTATTCGGGCTTCACCCTGTCTCTATGGGTGAGTTACGTGTACCTATAAGGAAGGTGTAGTGGAGAAATGACATTCAAATATTGAGAACATCTGGATGGGGAAATTTTATCGTGGGTAGTGTTCTCATCCTCTGCTGAAAAAGTGTACGAAAGCGAAGTCTACAAAGTTTAAATTCATCATTGGATAGATCTTTGAGCAGGTTCCTTCCAAACAGTGACCAGTGATTTCGCGTGGTTTCCCAGTGGGAAGGGCAACTGTATATGGCGAGCCAACAGAATGAATAGTTCCATTATGCGGGTGTATATGGGGTGTGGTGTATCTTCGCGCTCGTTGCTGGTTAAGGGCGTGCTGCGTTGTTCCTTCTTACGGGTCTGTAATGGGTGATCGTTACAACCATAATTTTTAATTCAACCTTTCGGACGAGGAGTATCTAAGTATGTCGATTATGGGAACTGATGATCTCAGTAAATGTTACAATTTCATAACTAGTGTCATTCGACAAATTTCAGCTGTTTGTTACTGAATTGATGAGTAGCCGTAGAGCTGCTCTGGACGTCAAGGGTGACTGCTTTGCGTGTTTTCGTCTGAATGGTATTGTGACTGTCTAGTAGTAAATCACTGTATCTATCGAAATTTGTAACTGGCGGACGAGGTTCCTAACACACAAAGAGGCATATTATGCTTGTATTCCGAAACATCCAAATTACAACGGTGATAAGCTTCACCGTAGCCTTGGAATACAGTAAAAAAATCACGTCAACGTTTAGGTGAGTACCAGTTCCCAGTGTTCTAGATTCTATGGTCTACACGGACGTTCTATGACCCCGTCAATTGTCCTATGCAGCGAATTGTGGCGAACAGCTGTATAAAAGTCACTCCGATACACCTCACTCCCTCTTGAGTGAATGCACGATTTGTGGTACGATTGCAGTTGAGGCATGGGAACGTTTTCTCATTGTTTTTAACGGTTAAACTGGTTTGATCCGTCAAACTGGAGCAAGGATTCAGAAGAGGCTGTACCACTATGAGGTACTAGAGAATTTCAATTGGTCACATGTGTAAATAGAGCTGAAAATACGTGCGGAACACAATGAGCGTACGGAGGTGCACGGTTCGAACCGTGATTGTATGAGCGTTCATCGGGCTTTGCAAAGCCCATTTCAACACAGGAAAATAAAATAAATCTTATTGAAGAAATGGAATTTTGCGGCAAATAACTTGAAATCGAAAGTAGTTTAGCTAATCCCAGTGGAACCGATCCAACAGCCGCGAATAGTCTGCACCTTCACAACACCAGGTCCTTCATAAATTTTCTAGTTAAAACAGTCTTGCCCGCTTACTTATACCGTTCACAAAGAAAAACATTCTGAGATTTGCTCCTAACCTGACAGACAAAACCGGATTCATTCTCAGAAAAAATAGGACCAGGTTTTCAAATCTTTTTCAATCAATTTCTCTACCAACTTCAGATCTTAACGTCTATTATCACACAAAGGGACAATAAAGTTTATCAAAATGATTTTTTCAAGACACTCGCTGCGATTATCTATTGTGAAATCCATCGCCCCCATTGTGTGACATTTGAAAGAGCAAAAGTCCGTGAGAGTTCCAACTTACTGATCAGTGTTTACCACAGATTTCAAAATGACACCTTGCAATCGTAAGTGGAGAAAGCCGACTGCGATATCCCCCAAACATATTACAAGGTCTGTAACTCAACAGTTTTGTGAGCTTCGGCAACAGCCGCTCTTTCATATGCAATCAGCCGCCTTTTTAGGTCATCATCCACATGGACAAAAATGTTAAGCTGTGCTATGTCCAGGGCTACTCACACGATCAGTGGAATCTCTGGATATCCGATTATTTTTTCCAAGCTTATCGAACCAACCATAGTTCGTAAATTTCTAGTACTTCGGAAATGCCAGTGGCTCCGTCCTTGTGTGAAGATATACGTTGATGATTCCCGCTTCTGTATGGGTGCTGTGGTAGGTTCTGAATCAAGCAAGCAGTGGGTTCTCATTAATAACATTTGGACTCTGGTGATTTCCCACCTGAGTTATAAACTCATGAGCTTTATGCATATCGAAAGAAGAATGGTATGAAAATCGTTCATTCGATAAACATTCACTAATACGTCTTAGGAGAGGTATATTTTGAAAAGGAGCAGCTGATAAAATCGAAAATGGCAAGACAATACAAAAACCAGGAAATATCGAAAGTAACTGAGGAAACTAGTTGACGGAACGGAATAATCATGGTTTGGAATCACAAAATCAAAGTGCTAATGGAATCGGTTCGTCGGATAAAGTTAACAAAAAATGAGCAGTCATCAGCATGTTACTTGGAATGGACCCGTGGTCCCCGTGAAATAATGAAGGTGTCGGGATGTGAGATATTTGGCGGCTCCGTAATACTGAATTCGGTACATCCCTGGAGAGCAATGTTCCTTCCAACTTTTCAGACGCCACCTGATCTCCACTTCACTGTGACCCAACAGCCAGCCGAACCTTCCCAGCCGACTCCAAATAAACCTATTTATAAGTGAGGAAACAGAAAAATCAGGGTGACCATGAAGGTGGGTTGTTTACATTCCATGCATTTCCCAGAATTATCTCTAGTATCAAGCATCCCACAGCAGTGTTTTCCAGAATTGGTGCCTCATCCACAAATCCTCAGCAAATCACCAAATGTGCGTTTCACCTTGAGCACGAACCATCAGACATGAGAATTCGTAATAAATCACAGTCTCAATAGATTGTTATTGCAATATTTTAGGCTGGTGATTTTGCGCACAAGCATACTCGGAACAACTGAGTACCACCGGAGTTTGTTTTTTTAGCATGGCTCTCAAAGTGTGTATAGGCGGAGAAACTCATAGAAAATAAGGTTTTCGTGAGAAGCATGGTTTGTCAGATATTGCGTTAGTACAATAAAACAAAGTCAGCTGGATTCCAAATGCCAGAGTATACTCTTAAAACGATGAGAAAGAAGAGAACATTGTTACCAAATATCGGCGGAAACAATAACACGATGATGACAGACGGAAATCTCAACGTGATGGAATATATTCTATAAGCTAGAGCATGAGTATCGATAGGCTGCAACGGTGTGTAAAAATATAGAGTGGCTAGTTCTAGGTAGGTGAGGACAGCGTTCAATGTGGTGGTTGATAATCAAAGTCAGTTAAAGAGCGCGAAAAGAGTCGCTTCTCATGGTTCAAACATCGAGTGAACGAAATTGAAAAGGTACTCATAAATCCTGCAGAAATTTCATTGAGGAGGATTTTAAGGCAAAGATTTAATGAAAAAATGACAAAAGAACATCCGAATTTGTTTTGGCCGTACAACCTGGTCAACCTAAATCGGCCAGGATTAATCAGTGTTTGTTTTAACTAAAAACTTATGCATCGCTTTTGATTGCGGCTCCACGTTTCACATTTGGTGCAGATTTGAAAACATATTTTGAAACGGTGTCTAGCATCTGACGGAGATATTTTCCACACGCTATATATATATATA